GAACCTCTTGAAATATATGTGTTTTTTTTTATTAAAATGATTTGTTTGCAAAAAGGATTGGTTAAAGAAATTTTGAAAATACAACAACCTAATGTCGAGGTTTTGGTTTTAAAGGGGTGAACGTTAGAAAAAGGTTTTAAAGGGTTTAACTAAAGGAAGACAAATAATGATAGATAAAAATATCAAGATGCACAATGACATAAAGTCAACAAGATGATCATTTCCCTCAGATTAAAACACAAAGATCGTAACATATCATTTATGAACAACGAAAGTTACAAGAGAATCAACAAACAAACCAATGACAAATAAGCAATAAGGAGATCAATTGAGGGGATAAATAAATTAAGTGTAGAAGAGAGATGTAAAAAAATATTATCTAAATTAAATTGAAATTCTAAGGTTACTAAATTGATTCTAAATTAAGTTAAAATTCTAAAGTTACTAAAGTAAATCTAAACTAAATTAACATCCTAAAGTTATTAAAATAAATCTAAACTAAATTAAAGTTCTAAAGTTTACTAACTAAATTAAAATTTCAAATTTACTACAATAATTTTAAGTTTAAACTAATTACTAAAGCAATCTAATTAAAAGACTATATGATTATCAAGCTAAGAAAACTTAAATAAAAAAGTTGAGATAGTAAAGTAAAAAAAATTTAAAGTCTAAACAAGATAATTAAGTTAATTATAATCAATAACCTACAAAAAAATAAGATAATTAAAAATAAGAAAAGAAATAAGATGATGGGATTTGTAGTGTCAAATAGGGGGTGTGAACATAGATTGACCGAGCTTAAGAGGAATCAGCAGACCCACAATTTAAAATAAAAGTGTTTTGAATAAAATAAAATAAGAAAAAAAGAATTGGGCTTAAATGACCCGGGGTCAGGTCAGATCTGGGTCCAGCCCTAACTAATGGATTGGAAAACCCTAAAAGTAAATTAGGCTAATTGTCTCTCTCTCACATTCTTGAAATAAAACTTCCTCTCCTCTCAGCGATCCAAAAAAACGTTCCTCACTCCCCCGATCTCTCAGCAATTCCTCAATAACCGCACTTCTTCCTCGGTGTCTCTCGATTTCACTGTAAAAAAACTTCGCCGAAGCTCATCTTCCCATATCAATCGATTCAAGCTTCTTTAATTATTCTTTCTCTCAAAAGCTCTAAACCGTGTTTCTCTCTTTCTGGATTCAATCGATTTGAAACAACAACTTCAACTCCCTCTCGGATTTTTTGCTCCTCCCGGCCTCTCATATTATTTCTTAGTTTTGTTTCTCATAGTAACAACAACACACATTCTTGGTTTTTTATATATCTAAAATTTATTAATTCACGGTTTGTTCATCTCACGATTTGTTCGCAGAAAAAAACGGCTGAGTACCCAAACAACATACAACAACAACAAAAATTTGTTTATGAATCAACAAGGTATAGCAACATAAAAAAACACGGAGGTATCTATTTTATGCAAGTTGATGGAAGAAACATTTACCTATCAGAGCCTCTCCGATGGAGTTTCGAGAGAAGGTAAGTTCAAATTCCTTCTTCTTTTATTATTGTTCTTGTGTTTGAATGATTTTAGTATGGTTGTTGTGAGATTTTGGAAGAAAGTTGAGAAGTTGAGATTGGAATGAGCAAAGAGATTTTTGTTGTTTCTTTGGAACTTTTATGGTTTTTGCAAGGTATTGGAGAGGGAGTATTTTTGTGATGATTCTATGTGTTTAATAGAGGGTTTTTGAAGGATTTTTCCTATATGTATGTTTGAACAGAGTTTGGAAGTATTTTTTATTGATATTTTTTCTTTCATTGAACATGAGATGACTTATTTTATAGAGAAAAAATATGAGATTTGAGGGGGGGGGGGGATTGTGAGTTTGAACTGTTGTGGTATGTTGTTTTAATGCCTTTTCATACAACTTTTGGTGTATGCTATCTTTTGCAATTCCTGGACTGATATGCTTGGCTTGTAACAGGGCAGAAACATAGGTTATTTTGACTATTTTTCTTGGCATTACTTGTGCAGGTTTGGACTGGTATAACACGGATGGATAACAATAGATATAAGTAAGGAAATAGAGTAGCATGGACAACATAACATTGGTGTTTTAGGGACTTATTTTGGACTAGTTTTGAGGACTAAAGAAAAGTTCTTGTGATAAGGCTTGAAGTAACATAGAAAGACATGAGACTTAGGGTAGTTTAGCATAGGTTTAGAACTTATAAATTTTTGTGTAACTCTGAAACTCAAAAGTCTTGTATCATGATGAATTTTATTCAAAGTTTAATTTTGAACTCTATGTAATTCTCCTTGAAGCTTGAATGAATTTTGAACAAATTCTTCTGGTGAACTTGAATTGATCCTTGCATCTTGCAATTCTTTAGAATTTATGATAATTTGGCTTGTAAACTTGGAATGGTGTATATTGTAACTTAAAATACAAGTAGTTCACTTGAACCTTCTCATTTTTGAATTAAAGTCTCCTTTGCAATCTTGAATGAATTTAAACTCGTGGATTTTGAATCTCCAAACTTGATTTTCTTGTTTTCATGAATTGTCTCAACGTAAGAATTAAGCATCTTGAAAAAACGACTATGACATGGATTGAACCCTCATGTTTAGGACGTTCTAAGTCAAGAAATGACATATAACGATTCAATAACTTTCAAGATCATCTAATCATAATTTTCCCACTTGAAGCAAAATTGTAGATAACATCATTTCTGACAGTATGAAAAAAAAACCGCCTCAAAATGTTGAAAATTGAGGAAGTTATGATCCTCAGAAGTCGGACCAAAGTTTTCTTGTAACAGTATGCCACATCTAAATTATTCGAACTTTTGGTAATCTTCCTCACATAATTAGCATTTGACTTGTAAAAAGAAATTGGAGAGGATGTCAAAAGGGACCAATTTCTCAAAGAATCACTAAAAAATGTGTAATATCAAAGAAGTTATGATCTTCTGAACTTGAGCTTGAAAATATTGACTTTTTGGTCAACATGCTTTGAATCAACTTATAAAATTGATAGGACACAATAATGCACATGTGGACTAGTGATAATTAAAACTTGACTATGCTTTGAGGTTAGAGGCCACACTTTAATGAAGTAGCCTTTGAGAATCAACCATAATGAACGGTTGAGGGATCCAAAACCCTAGCTGGGGCATAACACTTGATGCTCTTGATTAAAACTTGTATTTGTATTGGAAACCAAAGAAACAAATACACATATCTTTGTAATTGATTATAGGTTAATGATGAATAAGGTAAGATGTAAATGAGGGTTGAATCTTAGGTTAAAAATTAGGGTATCAGAGATGCCCCTATTTAACAGTCTTCTATCCGATGAGGTGAAGATTGAAATCTCTGTCTCGACGTGATTCGAGAGACTTAAAAACAAAAGAGCAAGTTTTGTCCCTAAGAAACCACAAATATGCTTATGATATAACACGACTCAATGAACTCTTTTTTGACACACAATTTTTTGTATATAATATGATATGAATGCATAAGACAATACACTCTGTAGGGAAACTTGAAACAAGATATTTATGATAGATTAAATGATATTACGTAGGAAGACACGCTGGAAAAAGCACAAGATATTTGGCATCTAATATTGGTGTAATACGGTGGGAGAACTGACTTAGGTGTTTTGTATTTGATCACAATTATTACAGATAGCAAGAGTCGCCACCGACTTTTCGTTTATCCAACAAAGGAAAGGTTGAAAAGAACAAGAAAGACCTTTAGATATATTTTATTTGAGTTAGGGGGGTAGGTTATGAAAAGGGAGGGTGTTATCATCCTTTTCATTCGTAGTTATCTATGGGCTCTTAGTTGCTTACTAGATCACTTGCTTTGTTTGAAAATGTGCTTGTGGTGTAGGTTTGAGTTTGAAAGTATTTTGAAAACCGTCTTTGTAATGATTCTCGTTTCTATAAGAATGCATACAAAGTGTTGGTTTTGAAAATAGTTCAAAGAGGTATTTTGTTGTGGAAGATGTTTTTGAAAGTGATTTTGAAAAGTGCCTTTGTAATGATTCTCATCTTTATAAGAATGCGTACAAAGAGCTTTGACTTTTGAAAATGTTTCAATTGAAAGTGTAGGTGTAAAAAATGGTTTTTTAGTCGTGAGAGAGCAAGCAACTACGAGCATCCTACCTACTCGAAAGGTCTTTATTCTTTTCCTCCTCCTTTAGATGTTGTTGTCTTACCATTGATTGATAAGAAGCCTCATCGTTGGATGTGAAGGGACGGGCGTGGGTCATTTGTATAGTCATAGAAGGCAATTTATGGCACATTTTAGCAATTTCGTTAGGGACTAGATCGTTTACCGAAGGCAACATCGAGGGTCATCGAGGGACTATGATCTTTTATCAAGGGTCTTTGCTAAAACGCCCATATTCGGGGGACATGAATATTTTCCGAGGCAACAAGTAAGATTACCCTAGAGGTGGATGTGTGTGAGTAATGTGTTTGATTGCATGCATTTTTGTCTTTGATTTTTGGGTTGTCTACTTGTTGGTTTTATCTTACCATACATCTTAATTACTAACATTTGTATAAAGAAATAAAAATGCAGAAAATAAATATCCTACACTATTATAACCATATTGAATAGTAAGAAAATATAAAGACAAAACAAAATAAAAGAAGGGAACATAAGTTCTTCGATCCAGGCAAAATGCACCCTTCGATTCTGCTCTTCCTGGCTTATTTCGATTTGGGCCTAGCAGTCAGAGTGTGCTGCACCCTTCGATTCACTATTCTTGCTGCTTCTTTCGATTGGGCCTGGAAGTCAGCGTGGCGAAGCCTAAAACTTCGATTCAC